AGTTAAATTATGGTTCTTATGATATTATTTTACCTTCTAAATATAAAGTTTAATATGAGACAGATCTTGTTTTTTGGTTTATGATTGATATTAGTAAATTTTCAACTTAAAATGATTTTTTGAAATTTACATGTTAGAGTATTAAAAATGCACTTTTAGGAAATTATATTTAAAGTTTTAAATAGAAAATTTTAGTAGGATTTATTGGGTATAATAATGAACTGCATTTTTTTAATTTAAATAAAAGAATTAAATAACCTTAAATATATGTGGTTAAAGATATAGAATTAGATATTGAAAATAAATAAAAAGAAGATTTAAATAAAAAAGATAATATTTAATAAAATCATAATGGTAGATTTATGTCCAGTATTTTTCGGTAAAAATAAGAAAAAGATACAAATATTATTTAGGAATAAAAATAATTATAATACCCTGATTTTGAGTTGCCTTTTCCAGATGATATTTTAGTAAATTTAGAAGAATGTGAAAATAATATTTTAATACTTTTAGATTAAATGGAAAATATGTATAATGTAAAAGAAGGAGATTACTAATAAGACGAAAAAATAAATAGTGCTTTTTTTAAAGCTTTTGATATTAGTCTTTAATAGATTTGTATGATGGGAGGTAGATTGTTTATTTTTCATTCAAATCCAAAAGTTTAAATAGTTGAAAATAGGAATTATTTTTTTAATTTAATTAAGAATAAATTTGATAATCTGTTTATTAATTTAAATATATTTTATTAGGAAAACTCATTTTAGGGCTTGTAAGAATTATTGTTTGGAAAATTGGTTAAGGAAACTAATGGGACATTAAAATGCTTTAATAGTGTAAATATTTAGAATTAATAATAATTTAATAATGTGGTGTAGAATTGTATTTCTAAATAATTTGCTTGGGAAGGAGTTTTAAGAATTAGGACTTCTTAAGATTGGTAACTTATAAACGTTTTGGGAAATTTAAAATCAAGAAATAATTAGAAAGACTTCTATACATTTTTAGGAGATGAGTAAAATATATATATATATATATATATTTATTTGTATATATTATTCTATTTTTAATATTAAATAAAGAAATACAAATTTAATTTTAGAATATTAATGTTAATATATGGATTTTAGATTAGATTACTTTTTTATTTAAGTAATTTCTTTTATTTTATTAATAATTTTTTTATTTAATTAAAGACTACGGTACTTTTTACAAATTAAAATTAATAAAGAATATTACGAGTTCATAATTATTCAATACCTTTAACTAAATAAGTTAATTTAATTCATTAAATGTTAAATTACTAAATATTATTTTCTTATTATATTAAATTACATTTTTCTTAAGTAAATTTAAAATTTAAAATAATATTTATTTTTTTAAAAAATAAAAAAGATTTTTTTTATTTAAACAGAAAATGCTTTAATAGAATAAAATCTTATTCAATCTTTAAGAAATTATATATTTTAATCTATAAAAAGCAATGACGTAAATAAAATAAATAAAAAATTATTAATTTTAATTTTTCAGAATAATATAATATAACCTATATCAGATTTTATGTTAAGTATACTTGGATTTTTAAAGAAAAAATATCTATTTAATTGTAATTTTTCTAATAATATTTTAAATTTTATTCTAATAATTAAAAATTAGATAAATATAATAATTTAATTGATTAAAAATAAAATAAATATATTAAATTTTTAAAAATGAATCCTTGTGAACTTTTTAGAAAATTTAACCCTTTAATTTTTGATGTTTATGATATTTTAAATGGTTAGTTTTATGATGAAAATGGAAACTATGTTTAACCATAAAAACTTGAATTAAATTACAATTCTATATACAACAAATAAATGATTTTAATAGATTAAGGATCTTAATTTATCCTTTTTATAAATCATAAGTACTTTTTTTAAAAAAATAAACTTGTTTTTATTTTTTTTTAAAAGTTTAATAAAAGACTAGTTAATATAAGAATGTTTTTAAATTGATTCTTTAGAATTATTAAAATAATAAATTTAAGTAAAAAAATAAAAAATAAAATATTTATAAATAAATTAGAATAATTAAGATAAAAAAAAATTTTAAAAAATGAAAAAATATAAATACTAATGAATTCTTTAACTTTGTAATTATTTATTTTACATAAAAATATAAAATTTATTAAAAATAGTATAAAATCTGAATAATTCTAAAAACTAGATATAGTTATTTCAGAATAAAATAATCCAAAAGAATATAAGTAATATATATAAATCTAAATATATTTTTATAAAAAATTAAATTTTTATAAAGAATATACTATTAATTAATCGAAGATTGTTATAATTATTATAATGGATTCAATAAAAGTCTAAAAGAATTTGTTTAATATATACTTAATTATAAATGATATTTTAGAGAAAATAAATATTTTTTTTTGTATCTAATTTGTATAAATGAATATATTATGATATATATTTTAAATTTTATGTTTATTAAAAATTTAATTAAACTTATATTAAAATATAAATAGTTATTAAAATATATTTTATTGATATATTATTTTCCTTTATATATAAATTACTTATTTTTATAATAAAATATAATTACTATAAATTAAGTTACTTAGTTAATATTTTTAAAGTTCTTACAAAACATATATCTTTACTAAAATTAAAGAAGCATAAATAAAAATTATATTTAAAAAAAATGTAAGAAAGATATAAATATTTAAGGATTATTTTATGTTTAATCAATAAAGGAGTTAATAAGTAATTATAAAAACAAAAAAGCAATATTCAAAAAAAAAAAAAAAAATTACAAAGTTTTAATTAAAGTGATTTAATAATTTTTATTTAAAATGAATAAAAATAAATTTTTTGTTAATTATTAATATATTTTATTTTAATTAATTTTATTTACTTTTTTTAATAATTATTTATTTAACTAAAAATAAAATATAGGTAAAAATAATAATTAAATATACATTTACTTGTATCTTTATTTAAAAATCAATTAAAATAATAAATAAGACTTTATTTATATAACTTTTTATAATTTTATTTTTCTGTATTTATTTTTTAAAAAGCTAATAATGCATTATTTATTTTTTTTCGCATTTTTTTTCGATAGATAGTGTTTTAAAAAAATAATTATAGAAAAAAAAAAAAATAATTGTATATTTTATTTATTTTATTATTTTATATTATTTTATTGTAAGCATTTATTTTTAATAAAATATTAGATAATTTTCATAATTTAAATAAATAATTAATAGAGAATAAATACTAATATTGTATCATTTATATTTTTTATTTTATTATTAAATATAATAGTTTTTTTTTATTATTTTACTACAATTATAATATTTTTAAGAATTAAATAGAAAAATCAATATTTTAAATTTTATTTTTTGTTTAGTAAAAATATAAACGTTAAATTTATTAAAAAAAATAAAATATATATATCTATAGTATTTAAATTTTTTATTTATTTTTATAATTAAATATAATATAAAAAATCAAAATTAAAGAAATATAAAAAATATAACTTTAAGGACAAAAAGAATGAAATAATAATACTAAAAAATATTATTAATTAAATTAAAATAAAAATCATATTTAATTTAAAAAATAAAAAAATTAAAAAAATTAAAAAAAATTAAATATAAAAAATTAAAAATTAAAAAAAAAAAATGCTAAACAAAAGAAATATAAAACATCGTAGATGTAATTTAAAAATAATATATATATATATATATATATATATATATATATATATATATCTTTATAAAAAAATATAATATTAGCTTTAAATTTAGTTGGGAATATATAATTATCAAAAGGAATGTATTTGTCATTAATGAAAAGAAAACTATAATAATAATAATAGGAAAAAATGCAATAATAAAAATATGGAAGAAAACCAGCATATATATATAATTAAATAAAAAGAAATAAGTTTTCAAAAAAAAGTATTGTTTGTGGTTCCTAATAAAAAAATATATTCATTTGATTGTTATAGAGATAAAGATTTAATTAGATAAAATTAATACCAAAAAATAATAAACCTAGAATAAGATGATGATATGGATACAGATTGTGAATAAATAGAATAATCAACTTACAATGTATTTAAGTCTTTATGTTTGGCATTATATTAAGAAAAAATGATCAAATATGAAAATTAATATTAATAATAAATGAAAAGTTTATGAAATATTAAAAAAAATAAAAATATTAATTTGGTAATAAAAATTTAAACAAAAAATTATAATTTTTTTTTGAATAAAAAATAATTTTTATTGTTTGAATTATTATAAATAAAGATAAAAAATAATTATTTTTATTATGAATAAAAAAAAAAAAAATTGAATAAATAAATATACATCACTTCAATAAATTCAATAATTTTTAAACATTTTATTTACTTATTTTTGAATTATTTAAAAATTAATACCATTATTCTTATGTTAATGATTTTTAATATTCACTAACTAAAACTTTAAACATATCTAATATTTTTTAACTAAGATTTTCTTAATTAACAAAGCAATCAACAATATATTCCATAAAAGTAATTATTTTTTCAGGTCTTTTAAATGCCATTTATAAGAGTCCTCTTTATATATAAAGTTATATATATACTTAATAATAAATATATATTTAAATCAATATATATTTATTATTATATATAATTTTATTTTATATAAGAAATACTCAAACGCTCTTTCTTTTAATTAGTCATCTGTATTACATTATCTCATAGAAAGACAAAATTTATAAATAAATTAATCTAAATATAAACTTACATTTTCAATATCAAATAAAGCAATTGAACCTAAAGATTTAACAAAATTTCTTGCAACTACTTTATTTAGCTTTTTTTATTGTTATTTTGTTTAAAAATATATTTAGTATAATATTAATTTTTTACTTTATTTTTCATATTTAAAGCTTCTACTATTTTCATACAAATAACATTTACATATTATTACATTAAATCTTAATAATTCATACAAAATTCATTTAGACACATAATTGCGTTATTACATGTGGCTAAATAGCTGTTTCCTAAATCGATTTCATCTGGTAAAAGTTTTACATTTTAAATTATATATTAGTAATATTATATTAAGTTTTCTCTTATTAAATTAGGGCTATTTTTAGCTATTTCAGCTAATAAGCTGAATATATAAGATCTTATTTCAAAATCATCTGCCTTTTTTAATATTTTATTTTAAAAAATAATAATAATAATCGTTTAATAAAGGAGATATATTTGTTTACATTAATAGTTAGATTAATAACATTAATAATTTAATTTAAATTTTAAAATTAAAGTATATTATTTTTACTAATATATACAATACTACATAATAAATCAATAGCCGTCAAAAATACTTATTTATGTTTTAAAATGTAATTTTTTGAGTTATTATTTTATTGCTACTATTACAATACTAGACTATAATTATTTAATATTTACATACAAATAGGATATATAGTAACACAGTATTTCAAAAAAAATACATCTTTTTCATCCCCAATTTAAATAATTTAAGAAAAGCATTCAATTATTGGCCTTATTTTGATATTATTAGTACCCATTTAATGACATTTTATAATTAATTCAGGTATAATAATATCTAAAATTTACTCATTTTTCATTTCTTTTTACATACTATCCGCTAAAGTACTAATAGCCATCAAAAGCATATTCAAACTATCATTATTATAGACTTTTAAAGCGGCCTTTATGACTTATATAAAATCCAATAAATAAGGCTTTAATATATGGGCTCCTTATTCTACAAATTCCTTTAAACAATGACATGCACATTCTTATAAATAAGACTGATTTTGGTTTATTCCATGAAATATTTATTGTAAATAAAGTCTTATTATTTCTTGTTAATTTGATTAGTTATCAACTAAGAAATAAGTGTATTAGGATATTGTCCATAATATAGAACTTTGTAATAAATAATGAGTGTTTGGAGTTGTATATGTTTATAATAAATTATTTATTAAAACATTCAAACTGTTTTCTATTATTTCTTTTTATCCTTAGGCGATTTAGCCTAGGCATATTATACCTAATTCTCTATATGTATATTTATATATATGTATTTATTTTTAGTTTACTATATTTTCCAATCTTGTTTTGTAAATGTTTCCTCTAGAAAAGGCTTTAAAATTTAAAAAACCTCATTTTGGAAATAATTTGAAAGCTTTTCAATGTTTCTTCCACATATTTTTCTTAGTGTGTATTCGCCTTCTCCTCCAAAATCATCACTTTAAGTTTGATTAAAGTCTAATTAATCTTCTTCGTTTTCTTCATTCTCTTCATTTTCCTCGTTTTAATTAATTTCTTCTGGTTTGCTTCCGTCGTTATTATTTGGTAGAATATTTGCTAAATCATCGTTTGTATAAATAAGTCCTTTTAAAAGATTGATAAGTAAACTAAATAAATAAATAAATAAATAAATAAATAAATAAATAAATAAATATATAATATATATATATATATATAATATTTTTATATATATAGTTATATATTTTTACTCTTTTAAATACACTTTTAAAATACTCATTCTTTTTTCATATTCATTTTTATCAGAATCCTCAAAAAATAAATATTCTTGTAAAAAATTACAAGCGCTTTTTTAAACTTCCACATCTTTATCTTAAATGCCCTAAATAATACATTTAATTGTATTATGTACATTTTTTAAAACCACATCTTTTTTAATTTCTACTAAATAAGTAATTCCTTAAAAACATCTTTGTCTAACTTTCGGATCTTAATTAGTGCTTCCTCCCTATATTAAAGTTTGTAAATAATTATCTATATTTTCAGAAAGGGCGGAAGGCATCAAATATATACATTAATTTAGTGCATTTATACTGATTTCTTATATTTATGAAGGAAAATCATTTTAAGTAAACCTAAACATTTATAAAATTAAATTATTTATATGAAATTCGCTATTTAGATTTTCACTGTTTATGCGTAAATCTTCGAATATCTTATAAATGCATTATAGTGTATTTTTTATTATTTAATTATCGGCTTAGTTTAAGTTTTAAACTAGGAAATTTATCTAATCAGAAGCTTTTTAAAAGCCTATTTTTATTACTATTAAAGTCATTAAATTACCTACTGCATTCCTTATAGGATATTAATGATCGTTAAATGTTTCAAATATTACTTATTGTATATATTTTAATGTGTTTTCGGGTAAAATGTCAAAGTTTCTTTCAATTAGTGATTTTAAAATTACGGCTTTTATTTTGTTTGTTTTGTTTGTTAGTTTGTTGTTTTTATTTTTTTACCTGCCATATGTCTGATGTGAAAATCTATTTCTGATTTAATTGATAGTATATATGATAAGTAATTATAGAATTCGGTTTTTTATGAATATTCTTGGATTTGTTTATATACTTATTTTTGCTTTTCGTTATCAGGGAGTTTAGATTACTCTAGTAATTATATTATTTAAATTAATATTTGTTAATTTGCTTAAAACATATATTATTTAGGGATTTTTTTATTTTATTTTTTATAATTATTATTTTTGTTTTGTTTTTTATTTTAATTTTTTTTTGAATACTTTTTTTTTTAGTAAATATAAAATGATTTAGTTATTAAATTTATACTCTTTTTAATATAATAAAATATATATAGAGAAAATTATAATGTTTTCCTGGTTTTTTTTTTTGATGTTAACTGAAAACTAAAATATACTTGTTTTTATTATAATATAAATAATTATAGATTAATAATTTTATATATATATTTTAGTAATAAAATAGTATATTTATAATAAGTATGCATTTATATATTTGTAATTTAAATATAAATAATAATTATGATTTTTTATTAGAATTTATTATTTATTTATTATGTTTAATAAATATATATATATATATATATATATATATATATATATATATATATATATATATATATATATATATATTGTTTTTATTTTATTGTGCTTACCCTTTATTTTTTTTATATTGTATAATACATTTAAAATATTAATTAAATCTTTTATTTTTTAAATTAAATATGAATATAGTTTTTAATTAAATTAATTAATTTTTTATTTATATAAATTATTATTATAAACTATTAAGTTTGTTCTTTTTTTAAAATAATTACTATATTAATAATTAATTTATTATTAAAAATAATTAAGGTTTACTATTTATTATATAGTTTTTGTTTATTTTTTTTATTTTATATATAAACATAAATAATTTTATATTGCTATTTTGTTTGTATTGAATTTTATATTAGTTATTTTCATTTGGGAGTAATATTTTGTTATATGATTTTTTTTCCTTTTTTTTTATTTTTTTGAACAATTTTTAGTCATTATTTTGTTGTTAAATTGTAAAGTATAAATTAAACATGAATTAAAATACATATAATTAATGAGGATATAGCATCAAAATAAATATTTTCAGTTATATTTGGTTATAAACTAAATTGTTTTGATAAAAATATGGAATTCTTTTATTAGTATTATTATAGTTATTTCATTTATTCAGTTATTTATCTGAGAAAGATGAATAATTTGATATTAAATATTAAAAAATATATATATATAATATTTTTTTTTTTAATTCAAATAAAAATAAATTTATTTAATTTTTTTTTTTTTTGTTAAATAAAAAAATTCAAGTAAATTTTTAAAAAAAAAAAATAAAAATAATCTTCTATAAATAAAAAAAATAAAATAAAATTAAATAATTTTATAAAATACCAAAAAAAAAAATATTTATTTTATAATTAATTCCACAAAAAAATATAAAATAAAATACTTTTTTTTTTTTTTTTTTAATAAAAAAATATAAAAATAGATTAAATTTTAAATATGTATTGTTCTAAAGGTGGAATTCATTTAAATTCTTAAATAAAATATATATGTACAGAGCCTTATTGTAAATAAGATCCGATTTTATGTTAAATATGTAAACTAAAACAACATATAAACCATAAAATAATGCCTTTATCAGATTTTTTATAATAATTAAACACAAAAATAAAAAAAAAATATAATCAAGAAGATGAAGGAGAAGTAGATATAGAAAAAATATGCAAATAGTCTTTTAATAATCTAAAAAGTTATTTATTGAAACAAATAGATTAAATAGAGAAAAATATAAACGAATATTTTGAAAATTTAGATTAGAGTTTTAAATTTAATAATATATAAATACAAAATGATATAAATGAGTTAGAAAAAACATAAGATTAATAATAATATATGGAAAAATTACAAAAAATAATAACAAATTTAGAATTCGAATCTTAGAATATAAAAGGAATAAAAAAACCAGTTTAAAATACTGAAATTTAACAAAAATAGTAATTTTTTTTAGATTCTTTGAAAAAAATTTACTTTTCTTTTCGAAATTCTTATAATGAAAGTTTTACAAATATAAATAACTTCGAAAAAATAATTTCTAATTTTAGTTAAGCCAATATGCCTATAATTAGTAATAATTTTGAATATAATATTTTTTAATCTGTTAATTCTGATTATAATGAAGATGAAAATATAAAAAGGACAGGTAAATCGAACTTTTTTAAGGAAAATTAATATAAACTAGATAATAAAGAAAAATAATAATGTCCTATTTATTTATAATAATAATAATTATTCGATTCTTTTTAAAAAAAGCCAACAAAAATTATGTTTATAGCTTCCCCATTTAAATGTTATACAAATAATAAAGACGGAAATTCTTTTTCGAAAAATTTTTCGGCTTTTAGTAGATATTCTAGTACTGGGAAAAACACTACTACATAAAGTGGATATTAAAAATTTAATAATTTTTAATAGGATTATAACGAAATTAATATTTCGACATTTATGAAAAATAGTACAGCTTCATATTAACCCAATTTTCATTTTTCAGATTAATTTAAACATGAATTTATACATTTGGAAGGTAAAAATATTGCTATAGGTACTAAAGATAATTATTAATCAAGAATGGTTTTATTAGAACCGAGTCTAGAGGTAAAACCTTTGAGAGTTATTTAATTTATTTTAAGAATAAATGAATGCTAAAATTAAGAATATGGGTAACCTTTAGCTTTAGGTATTTGTCATGGGGGATTGATATAGAAAAATAAATACTAATTTCATGAAGATAATAATAATCATGGGTGTTATTTATTGTCTAGTAGTGGGATTATTAGAAATCATAGTAATAAGAAATAAGATAGAAAAATTGGTTTTAGGTTTTTCTAAAATGATGTTATTATTTTAACTTTTAATCCTTTTAGGAAGACTCTTCAGTTTCTTAAATAAAGTTCTGGGGAGTAAGTTTAGATTAATGTGGTAATTGATCCAAATGATAAATTATATCCGTGTGTAAGAATTAGTTATGCGGCTGATTGTGTAGAATATTTACAGAAATTATGAGAGAGAAAAAAATAAAAAAATAAAAAAAATAAAAAAAATAAAAAAAACAAAGTTATTTTTTTTTATTATATATTTTTTATTTATATATATAATAAAATATTGTGGCATTATTTTATTTTTTTATATATTTATAAAATATATATATAATAATATTTATCTATATACAAATATATATATAAAAACATATAAATATATATATAAATATATATTTAAATATATTTTTATATTTAATTTTATTTTAATGTATGTATTATTTTTAATTTCTATTTTTATAGTTTTCGTAAATCATTTCTTTAAATATATATATTCTTTTTTACTTGTATTTATAATGTTTTATATATAATGTGTATTTCTCTCTTTTCATATATTATTTATAACCTTTGATAATAATAATCACAGATTTGTCAGAAAAATTACTATTTTTATATCTATTAGTGTTTAAACTTTGTATAAGAAAATATGAAAGATGTTAACTTTTTTAAGATTTCCGAAAAATTTCTTCTATATAGACGGGGCTATTCTCGATTCTTAAAATTGCAAAAAAAGTATTTTTATTAATAAAAAATTTGTTATGGACTAATTTATTAAATATTAAAAGAATATATAAAACACTAGTTTGAATGTTCTAATTCTTCTATTAAATATTATAATTTTTAATTTTCATTATTTAAAAATATTATTTTATAATTATTATGGATTTAGTACTTTTTAATACTTTATATAGAGAAGATTCTCTTAAAACAAATTTGTACTAAATATTTTGTTTTAATTATACATATAAAAAAAATAAAAGTATGTTATATATATAAGTATTATTATTAAAAAATTGATTTTAAGTAAATGTATTAATTTATATATTTTAAATTTCATTTTGCCAAGAAGATTTTGATGGGCTGTTTTAAGATATAAAGAAGATAAAAAATAATTTTATTTATTAAACAAAATTAAATAATTTTATTTAATATTAAATTAAATTATTAATATTTTTAATAAGAAAATATATAATAATAAAATAATATTTTTTATATAATATAAAATAGTAATAATTAATTGTAAATAAAAATAATAAATATTAATAAATATTAAAATAATACTTAAATTTATATATTTGAAATTTATTGATATTTATATATTTTTTTTTAAAATAAATAAAATGATAAAAGTTTTTAAATTGTATTAAAAATTAAAAATATAAAGACAAAAAAAATTAAAATAAATAATATAATAAATAAATATATATATATATATAAATATATATATATATATATATATAAATTTTATATTTATTTTTTACTATATATTTATATATTTTATATTTTAATATTTTCAATTAAATTATTAAAAAGGTATAATTTATTTTTTAGAAGGTTTAATTTCCCTCCTATTTGAATAATTATATGTTGTGAATCCAATTTTAGCTAAAAATCTTTTCAGGTGAGGACAATTTTCGCCACATTTCTTATGCAAAATGTATAGTTTAAGAAAATATTGCTTAAATTCTGCATAAGAAATTTACTAATTTTTTCCTTTATTGAAATATTTTAAAATTAATTCTTTTATTTATTATGAATTTTTATCTCCTTTTTTTTATAATTAAAAGAATATTTTATTTATAGTTTCTTCATTCAATATGTCTTTGTCTTCAAGGGTTTCTAAAATTTCTTTTTCTTCTAATTCATTATTACAATATTCAAATATATTAATTAATTCATCGTCTTTTTTTCTATTCAAATTTGATTTAAAAATAAAACTTGAATCTTATGTTTTTATATCTTCATCCACAGTTGATTAATTTTATTATATTATATTATTTTATTATTATAATAGATAATTCTCTTGTTAAAATATATTATTTTATAAAAATTATGTATTATTTTCATCTTGTTATTTATTATTAAGTTATTATTATTATTATTTATTATTATTATATTTATTATTATTATATTTTATAATTATTCAAATTATTATTATTATTTTTATTATTCGTATTATTATTATTGTATTTTTTCTTATTATTAGTATTCTTGTTGTAATTTTATTTTTATTAATTCATCATATTAATATTATTATTTTTAATATAATTTCTCTTATATACTATCTTATTCTTTTTTTAGATTTTAATTTTTAACTTCTTCTATATTTTTATTATCTATTTAAAACAGATTAATTGGATTTTTTAAAGAAAAATATTTATTTTAGATATTTTTAATTATTTCTATTTATACATCAAATTCATTTAATATTTTTTAAATAATAGGCCAAAGTAATTAATTATCTGTTTAAGTTTATTAATTTTCATAATTAAAATTATTATTATCATCATATTTTTAATAATTTTTATTAAAAATATTATATTAATTATCATTTTTATTATTAATATTGCTTTTTTATTTATTAAAGTTTTATATTATATTTTAATTTTATTCATCTTTTTTTTTTTTAAAAAAAAAAAAAATATCTGTATAAATATATAAAAATATAAATATATATATATATATTTATATATATATATATATTACATATTTCTATTGGAATTTTTCTTTTTATTATTTTTTTTTCTCCTGTAATTTTATCAATTTATATTTCCTCTATTTCTTAAAATTCTTAATTTTAATTTGAAAAACTTATTTTTTTAGGGACTTTTTTTATTATTTTTTTTATAATAGTCTTTACTTTTCCTGTTTTTTCGTCAATGAAGCTTTCTTCTATTTCTATTTCTTTTTCTATATAGTCTATTTGAGAGTTTTTTTTATTTTAATTGATTTATTTTTTCCTTATGTTCGGTTTTTGTTCTATTATAATTTTTTTTAGTCCATTTTCGTCTATTATTTCTTTTTCTTATTATATCCATCTGTCTTATTCTTCTATTTCTAAGGTTTCTTATTTATAAGAGATATTATCTATTTCTGAAGTAAAAGTTTATTTTTTAAAAAATTATAATTTTTCATCATCAGATGTTATTGTTTTATCTGAAAATTTTTTTTAAAAGCTAAATTAAGTTTCAACATTCTAATTAGGATTATATAAGGACATTTTAGATTATTTTTATAATGAATTATTTTATTTTAAAATTTAAGAATTATTATTACTTTATTATAAATTATTATTAGACGCTGAAAGGTTTTATAAAATAGAGTTATTTTTAGAATTTTTTATCGATTATATGTTAGAATTTCGATGTTATTATAATTATTATTATTATTATTATTTTTATTATTATTATTATTATTATTATTATTATTATTATTATTATTATTTATATGATATTTTTTATACATTCTTTCTTTATTTTTATATAACTTTATTTACTTCTATTTCCACTTCTTATTCTGTTTCTCTCATTGATTATACCTTTAATATTATACACATGTATATATAATTTTATTATTTTTATATATATTTAAACAATTAATATATTTTTATTTACTAAATGAATATAAAAAACATAAATTAATTTATATTAATATAAATATCATTTTATTATTCTATAATTTATTAATTTTGTTATATATATATAATTTCTATTTTTTGTTTACTTCGATTTCTTCTTCTTCACCATTTTCATTGATACGTTTTTCTATTCTTGTTACTGGCTATAGTATTTTCTATTTAATTATTTACTTTTCTGTAATTTGTTAAGAACTTGATTATTATTCATTTTCTTAATTTATTTCTATTGATATTTATTTTTTTAGTTTTTATTTTTTATTTTTCTGGTTATTCATCTATATATTAAAATATCTTTATTTATATTTTATATTTGTATTTATACTTTATAATTATAAAATAGATGTATTTCTATTTGTATATTATTAATCATTGTCATCTTAAAAATAAGATTATTAAGAATATCCACTAATATTAGGGTTAGTATTTTAATATTAAGACATCATATGTTTAATAAATTCCTATCTTTCGATATTTATTTATTAATTACTTCCTGGATTTTCTTAATAATACTATTAAATCTTCATTAAAGCCTTTTTTTAATCTTCAATATTTATTCCACTCTCCATTATCATTTAACATAAAGTTTACATATTATTTTATTCTTTAGAATCAAGAGATTTCATCATAAATTATATTTTTAAAAGTTCTTCTTTTAACATACTTTTTTTTTTTTTTTTTTTTTTTTAGTAAAAATTAAAATAAATTGTATATTTTTTTATTTTATTTTATAACAAATATTATATTTCAATATCTTAAGCTCTTTCTTCTGATTTTTCAAGTTTTTTTTATATTTTTTCTTTTTCTTTTTCCTCTTTTTATTTCATGAGTTAATTATGATCTTATTAATATTTAATTTTTTCGATTTAAATAGATAATTATTTCTTATCAACTTCGGCTTTATTTAAATCATCTTTTTATTAAGTTACCTCATAATTTAATTTTATTAAATCTTTTTCTTTATATTCTACTTAGAATTTCAAGTCTTTTATTTCTTCGGATTTTTTATCTAATTCAGTTGTATTTTCCTCTACTTTTTATTCCAGTAGACCTAGTTTATCTTTTAATTGTTAAACTTCCATTTATGACCCTTTTTACTATGAATTCCCGCTTTTTCCTTTTTCTTTTTATGTTTTAGTTTGGTTTTAAAAATAAGGCTTTTAAGATTTTTCTTTTAAAATGCGTTTTATATAATCCAAAATTTTTTAAGCTGTTTCTTTTTAAACGTCAATAAATTCTTGTTCTATGTATTTTTTTATTTCTTAAAATTCGTCTTCAAAATCATAATTTTATTCTTCTCTTTATTTTTCTTAGTTTTACTCTAAAAAAATATATATATATATATATATATATTTATATAAATAAATTTATATATATAAATTTATATATATATAAATATATATTTATTTATAAATATATGTTTTATTTTATTACTAGCTAACATTTAATCGGTATCGAATTTTTTTTTTCTTAGAGCAGCTTTTATTTCTTTAATTTATTCAGATACACCTGAGTATGTTGCTTATAATTTAGATGTTTTTGATAAAAACTTGGATATTTCTTAAATATTTTCTTCTGTGTCTTTTTATATTTAGTTTATTTGATTATCTTTTTCAATTTTATCATATTACATTTTAGCGAATTTTAAATCTTCGTTAGTATCAGTAGATTTATTAACATATATTTTGGGCTTTAATTTAATATTTTTATAAAAATATTATATTTATATATATATTTTTAGATTACTTTATTATCTTATTTTTTAGAGATTTTTTTACAAAATTAATTACTTATTTTTAATAAATGTTATTTAATTCTGTATTCTTTTAACGTCTATTTGATTCCTTGACCTTATTACACAAATTTTTATATATTTAATTAAGAAATACTCCCACTTGGGACTGATAAATTACTATCTATGCATGTAGATTATGTAAAAACGCATTCGTTTTCAAAATTTAACATTACCCCGCCTAAATTAGCATTCAATAGTATTCTATCCATAGTATTTGGTTATTCTTTATTTTATTGTGATGTAAAATATTAGAAACAGCCTTTTTTTTTATTATTTTAAGGAGATATGTTATCCATAAAATGCATTTTATTATTTTTCTTGATTATTTTATTAATGGTATTTTTTAAGGTATTTTAATTAATATTTTTTATATAAAAATATATTACTTATTTATTAAAAAAAAAAATTAAATATTTTAATTATTATTTATATTAACAAAAAAAAAAAAATTCAATAAATTGAATTAAAATCATCAAAATCTCCTTCTAAGGTAATTTAAGTAATATTTTTCTTTCTTTTTTCTTTTTTTTACAAAAAAAACCAAGTAATAAGAGGTGTTACGTATATAATAAACATAAAAATAGCTAAAGCAAATTATAAATAATCAAAAATATAAAAAAAAGGCTTTACATTATCCTATTAATAATCAATAATATAATAATTTAAAATTGTTTTATTTTAAAATTATTCATTTTTTGCAAATATATGAGCCTATCTTTTACTTATTACATATTCTTGGACTGATTTTACATATATTTGTATTCCGTATTAAAATAACAATTTATAATTTACAAAAAGACTATTTTAAAAAAATTAAATAATTAAATTCATATATATTTAAATATATAAAAATATATATATATATATATATATATATATATATATATATATATATATATATATTTACTTTATATAACTAGTAATAAATAAATAACAATTTTGATTGTATTAATAAAAAAATACTGTAGATGGATTTTTATTAAAAAAAGGTAATTTTATAGTATGATAGGAATAATATTCTAATTAATTTTATGAATAATTATTATATAAAATTAAATAGAAATTAAAATATTATGCTTAATATTAAATATGGCTTTATTAGGAATTTGATTATTATTAAAAAAGACATATCCTTGCAAAATAATCAGGTATTTAAAAATTATTTTCTTATTTTTATTTACTATAGAAATAAACGGGTATTGTTTAATATTATTTACACATCTTATAATGTTTGTAAACTGCATATAACTTATTTCCTTTCAAAACCATTTTATAATTATTTCTTAAGGAACAATTTAATACGAAATATCACATAACATAGCATCATTATTAAGAAATTAAGCTGTATAAAAAACTTTAAAAATATCTTCTTAATTATTATAGAGTACATTTTATATACTTACTGTAAAATAATCTAATTTTTTTAAATTTGAAGTATTTTATGGAGTATATTTATTACATATATATTCTAATTTATATATGAAGTTTATTTAATTTTCGTCCAAATGTAAAAACGTTAATTTATTTTCATATAAAATGGAAACAAGGAAATTTAAAATATTATTTTTATAGAAATAACTATGTACAGAAAAATCACTTATATATAAAAATCTCATATTTAATAATTTCGCATCTATACGATAATATCCTTTTAATTAAGATAATATTTTCGCAAATGTAATAAAAGTTTCTTAATAAGTCAGATCATATTTCGATAATACAAAAAAAAAAGGATCTATGTCGCAATTTTATTAATCTAATACTTCTATTTTTAGTATTTTCCCAAAATATTGACTATTATAATTTATAGTTTTAAATTAAATAAAATCAGTTATATTTTCTGATTTAAAAAAATCCATATTGTAGTTTATTTAATGAATTTCACTTTCTTATTGACAATATAAATAGGCTATAGGACAGTATTTCTAGTGTATTAATTTACAATATGAAAAATCAAAGTTTTGGTTATAATTTAAGATTTTATATGGGATGTTTTTCTATGATAATATTTCATTATCTTTCTTTTAAATAAATATTAGGTAGTTTTGGGTTATATACATTATTATTCCTATATAATCGTTATATACTACATCTATTGTAACCCCATATATTTCATGTACATCAATATAATTGATAGTTTAATCGAATATATCCTCCTCTATAGCTATTTATTTAGCTCCAATAAAAAAATCTTTGTTATCAATGGTTTGCTGAGGCTATTCTTATTCCTATGTATAGTGCATTTGTCTTATATTACTTTCCTATACCCCTATTTATCCCAAAGGACCTTAAAAAACAGCAAAAGGGATTTTAATTTCTTCAAATCTTTTTGCGAAATTAACAAAAATCCACTAATCTTCGAAATCAAAAGCCTTTATTTTATATTATTCCATATTTGCTTTGACTTAAATTTATCTAAAAATTGAATTTTTGGTATAATTAGAAACTACAAAAAAAGTTAATTCGAAAATTTTATTATCGAAATTGGATTTTATATTAATTTTCATTTAAGGCTTTTTGGAGATTTAGAGTATATTTATTCGATTTTTTAATTATAAAACACATATTCCTAAATTCCCGTTTTAAAAATCAACTATATTGAAGTCTTTTGTTGGAATATCTTTAGCAGCTTTTAGGACATTAGGGGTATTTTCTTAAGGGTCGAAAATTAATAAAGTATATATATTTTATAACTTTGATATATCAAAATAGTACGAAAGCTAGTAAAAAAATAACTGGTCAAAGTCAGAATAAAATAAAGTCTCTGCATTTATTTTATATTTGAAAGTATTATAGGTCCTTTTGTATTATAATTAGTTGTCTTAGCCAATATAGTATTCCATTATAACGGAATTTTGGTTTTCTTAAATACAGATAAATAATACAATATTCGTATTGAACACTTTTAAATTACATTAGAGGAAGTTAAGTTCTGTTATGTCATATATATATAAAAGAGTTACATTATATGTAGTTATATAACCTGTGTAACCATTTTAGGAATATATTCCGTATATATAAACTTAAAAATTTTTAGAAAATATTAACATAAGACCAGAGGTGGCTAATAGTTTAGAAAAAACCATTTATATGTCTAAATTTTATATGTTAGAATAATATATATATAAATATTTTTATTTTTACTTTCTATTTATTAATTTATTTTCATTTAGCTAATTAGTTAAAAAGTATTTTTTTTAAATACTTAATCATAAATTATTTAAAATACATATATATAACTAATTTCATCTCCAGTAAATACTGCTATCAAATCTTACGTAATAATTTTGAAAAAATAAACCTTATCATAAGGAATTTTTTAATAACTATAATTTGTTTAATTATCATAAAATAAATATAAAGAAAAAGTGATATTATCTTGATTTCTAACGCCTCCAATAAAAAAGACTTAATTATACTATGTAATATATAATATAAAAAAGTGAAAAATTATAGATAAATTTATAAATATAAATATTATTATTATTATTATATATATATATATATATATATATATATATATATATATTTTTTTTTTTATATTTATTTACCTTATTTAAAAATTCTAGTTTATATTAAAAATTATCTATGAAAGAGAAATCTTTACATTTAAATATTTATTTTCTTGTTTCTTATTAAGAAAAACATTTTTTCAAAAAAATATTATATATTATTTAATATTTATCATCTTCTTTTATATTAATAGTTTATTATATTATAAAAAAATAAGTATCTATAGCATCATTTTTATATTAAGAATATAAAATTTCATAGTTTATGATTTACTCATCGAATTCTATATTTATTTCATTATAGTTGTCTACATAAATATCATATTTTTCAAAGTCTTCTTAGTTTTTTATAAATATATACTCTAATTATGATCCTAAAATTTTATCATTTAAATCCATTTCAGCGTTTAAATCTTCAAAATTAATAGTTTATTTAAAAACACTTTACCCATATTAAGAAATAAACGGCTTTTATTAATTATTAACGAAATTTACTTATATAGTTATATAAAATTGTAGATCTTACTTATTATTAATTAAGTCTTAACTTTTACATAATATAGATATTTCTTATTCTTAATTTCTTGTAAAATTATTAGAATAAAGACTCAAATAGTTATCCTGTATATTAATTAATTTTCCTTTTCCTTCTTCTATATTTATCAAAAAAAAGCTATTTCTATTAAAATCTCCATTCTCATATGAAAGAGTATATGTATTATTTCCTTTACTAAAACTTTAATAATTATGTATACCAAACCGGTTATTTATGGTACAAAAAGTTGCTAAAAAATAATCATTATTAGCTAAAGCTTATCCTAAAATAACTATATAATCTTTATTAACTACAAAAGATTCTATAATATTATTTTTAGGCAAATATCTATGATTTAAACATTTAATGTTTTTTTAATCTGTTACATCTAAAATATATATATTATCAATATTAGTAATCATTAAATTATGTGTCTTTTTTTGACTATTTATATTTACGTTTATCAGAAATTCTGCGTTTAAAAAATTATTATCATATACAGTATTCATCTATATATTAGTTAATATATATTAATTATTAGAAAATTCTATTTTATCGTATGTAAGTTATCCTATAAAAGAAAATTATAAAATTAAATTCTTCTAATATGGATCTACACCAAGAGACTATAATTTTTCTAAGCAAGGCAATACGTTTTTATTTCCTATTTATATTTATTATGTAATAATATCTAAACTTAATTCTCTTATATAGAAATATTATTTTTATTCATTATTATTATTATTATTATTATTATTATTATTATTATTATTATTATTATTATTATTATTATTTATTATTAATGCTTTTTATTAATCTATTAATTATTTTGAATATGGGCAATATTGAATTAATAAATCTTTTACTTCCCTTTTTCTGTATATAATTCTACTCCTATTGTTTTCATTTATCGATCTTTACATTTAAGAGAATATTTTTCGTTTTTTACAGTCATGCTTTTATCTAAATTAAGATCTTCGATTTAATTTATACCTGTAATATCTATTATTAGGAATATCTGTTCCCATTAATAATCGCAGTCTAGAATTATGAAATCTAAATTAATATATTTTTTATTAGGCCTATAATATTACATTCCGTAACATTTATCAACGTTATATTTGAGTGATTTTGTTTTATTTTTGTAGGTTTAGTCATCTTATAGTTCAGAAACGG